TCGAAAGGTACGGACTGCATACAATTAAGGTGACCAATTTTCATCGAAATGTATAGGTCAATTAAGTTATCGAGATGCGATTGCTAAAAACACAATTTTTTTAGGACCTCGGAGCTGTGACGTCCAAAGAGAGGTGACAAGTATAGCGCATTGTGGCCACCAGTTACTGTCCCTCTCCTTCATCTTCGCCTCCGCCCTACGTCTCCTTATCGGAACTGTCCCCCCCCCCCCCCCCGCCACCAGCAGGCACAGTACGCCAACTTATATAGATAAGTTCCCATTCCCAATATACTTTTTAAAGCAAAGTAAAAATAGGTAGGAGCGTTCTTATCTGTAGCGTCGGGGCACGCACGGGGACGCGCCGAGACGCGCTATGCGGTGCAGCCGGCGCCCAGCGGGCGGCGGCCGGAGATCAGGTGGCCCGGCGCGGGTCAGTCGCCGACCGGAGACGCGGGCTGCGGCGTACTTGTACCGGCTTAGTTAACGACTGCTGTTAAAGACTACTTTTTGCTGTTGACTATATTTTGCGCATCAACTTTTCGCGCACCTATTAACTATTTGCTTGTTGACTTTTTGTGTGTTGACTTTTACCGTGTTGACTTTAAGCATGTTGACTTTTAGCGTGTTGACTTTTAGCATGTTGACCTTTCGCGTGTTGACTTTTAGCGTGTTGACTTTTAGGCGTGTTGACTTTTAGCGTCTTGACTTTTTGCGTGTTGACTTTTTGCGCGTTGACATTTTGCGTGTTGACTTTATGCGTGTTGACTTTTAGCGTGTTGACTTTTAGCGCGTTGACTGTTTGACATGTCGGCTTTTTGTCTCTTTGACATTATGTCTTTTGACTTCTTGCGTGTTGACTTTTAGCTTGTTGACTTCTGGCGTGTTGACTTTTTGGCAGGTTGACTTTTTGTTCATTTGACATTTTGTCCTTTGACTTCTTGCGATGTTGACTTTCTGTCTGTTGACTTAATGTCCTTTGACTTTTTATCCGTTTACTTTTAACGTTTTGACTTTTCATCCGGGAATCGGCAGAATCTGCCCCCCCTCCCGTTTTTCGCCAATAACTTCTAAACGCGTTACGCCAGCGACGTCAAACTTTCAGTACCTTATTATACATCAATTTGACACGTTCCCTGAAAATTTGAGCGAAATCCGTCGGAAAATTTTTGAGAAATTGACGTTTTAGTGAAGTCATGTTCGCCATTTTCGCCTAAAAAACGGCAAAATTTCAAACGCCGCTAACTTCTTCATTTTTAAAGGAATCAAGTCGTAACAAAAAAAGGTTATACGTGATTCTACTTTGTCTATCAAATGGCTATCTCGGTTTTTTGAAAATTTTGGATTTTGGCCAAAATTTTTCCAAAAAACTGACTTTTTTGGGAAAATATTTATAAAATCCAAAATTTTGAGTTTATCGAAAAAACCGGAATATATGTCAAAGAAGTGGTCTATGTGCACCTACATACCAATTTTGAGAAGAATCGGTTCAAAAATGTGGGAGTTATTCAAAATTTTATGACGTCACGACACACAAAAATTTTGAAAAATGATTTTTTTGGAAGTTCTAGACTTCGTACGGAAATAAAAACAGCACCATTCGATTCGCCGTGAAAAACTGCATCGGATAGACACCTTTTTAGGCCTTAACAACCAACTTCAAAATTTGACCTCACTTGACCTGACCTTGACCTGACCTCGACCTGAAATTCATCCAGAGGTGGTCCATATCACTTATTGAGTGTGCCTATTGAATTCCATGAGTAAAATGACCCATAAAACATGTGTCGCACATGCCCTTTTCTATATTTTGTTTTTGGTGACCTGACCTGACCTGACCTGACCTTGACCTTGACCTTTGAATGACATTGTGTGCAACGAATATTGTCTTGGTAGTCTAAGAACACGTTTTGGGCAATCAGTCTCAGTCCATTCTTCGGCAACTACGGTGCAAGGCCGATACTGTAGAAACTTGCATTTTGTACCCTTGACCTGACCTTGACCTGACCTCTGACCTACTTAAGCAAAAAAAATTGGGCTCTTAAGATCCGCCTTGTTGAGAGCTTTCGATTGCCGTTTTCCCCGTCTTTCTACGACCATCGGTTCGGAAGTTAGACAGGGGGGGGGCAGAATCTGCCCCCCCCCCCAGCAGGGCGCGTATGGCTGAATAGCCCAGCGGGGCGCGGGTTAAAAGTAATTAAAAAGTAACTGTACTCTCATAATTAAAATCGAAAATCATAAAAAAGGCCAGATAATCTTGAGGAGCTTTCGGCTTAAGCCGTCTTCCTGTTTATAAAACAGGAAGTGTGCTGTTTATAAAATATTTATAAAAAATTATCTATTTATTAAATAGAGTGAGTTGAAGAACGCATAAGCCAAAAGCTCCTAGAGATTATCAGGCATTTTTTTACGATTTTTATTTTCATTTTGAGAGTACGGTTACTTTTTATTATATTTTTATGTTTGACAAGTTCTTTTTAACCCGCTGTTGGGCTCTGCCGAGCAACGCGCCCCGTTGGGGGGGGGGGGCCATTTTGGCCCCCCCCCTAAGATCTCGAGAACCACGCAACGTAGCGACAAGCGGCAAACGGTGTTGGATAGCCCTATCAGGGAACTACCTTGTGACCCAATTTTATTGACCTAGGTCAAACCGATGACGTCACAGGTCAGGTCAAAGGTCCAATTTTCACCGTTTACAGGCATTTCAAGAAATGCGTTGTAAAATCGAGTAAAATGCATTTCATTGAAAATCATCGATGGGGAAATGTTCTTCAAACACATATTTTGCTAGTTGAGGTCACTGATACCAGGTCAAGTCACTGAGGTCAGGTCACTGGGGGGTCACAATATGAAAGTGTCGTGTGATACATGTTTTATGGTCCATTTTACACGACAAATGCGATTATGTGGGTCAGGCAGCCTTTGGGGCCAGCTTAGGTCACGTTTTGGTCAAGGTCAGGTCAAGGTCAGGTCAAGGTCAGGTCAAATAAGGTCAAATTTCAAAGTTGATATTTTTGCATAAAATGGGTATCGAATCGATGCAGCTCGTCACGGGGAGTTCAATGGTGGTCTTTGTTTTTCCGTACGAGGTCTAGAATCGCTAAAAATTGAGTTCAAAAATTTGACGTCATCATTTTTGAACAGTTTTTTCGCTATAACTTGGCCAAAAAACGAGATATCGATCTGAAATTTGGTATGTATATAGAAGAGCGCAGGGACTATCACATATATTCCGGTTTTTTCGAAATTCGGAAAATTTTGGATTTTTTTTTTTACTTTTTCTAAAAAAATCAATTTTTTGAAATTTTTTGGGTCAAAAACCCAAAATTTTGAAAATCCGAGATAGCAGTTTTGTAGCGCCGCTTTTTGTCTATTAGACCATATAAAGAACTTTGAAATTGCTTGATCACTGTAGATTTGGTGAGCGTTTCAAGATTGCATGTTTTTTGCTCATTTTTGCTCGAACATGACCTCAGTTTGACCTCAATAACTCCTGACATAAGGTGACCTAAGACTTGAAATTTGGTGTGAAGGTGTCAAATTGATGCCCGGAAAGGTACTGAAAATTTGGCGGCGCTGCGCGCCGCCGTTTTCTTGCTATTCAGGAAAAACCACAGGGGGGGGGCCAAAATGGCCCCCCCCCAACGGGGCGAGGGTTAACACGTCTAAGGAATTCAAAAAGCATAATTATCTTGCTTCTATGATGTCTGCAAAAAAGAAAACATGTTAATTATTTAGAGATTTTTACTCTGCAGTAGTGCAGTTCAACAAATGCCTACCACAGCACAGCCTTTATGATCCAGCCTGAACCATAAATCAGTTGACCATTATATAGCCGTTTTTGGATGAATCTCAAGTTTACTAATCCAATTTCAAAAACAACAATCTTAAAGCTTGTATAAAACCCTACAAAGTTGAATTAATGGGCCACATTAATATCACTCTGGGACTGGGTTGCACTTGCAGGAATCCAAATGTCCATGCGGCATGCACATTGCGCATTTTCAATAGATATAAGAAAGTGATGGGAAGACAAATGGCAATTTATATAGGTACAAGAAATCAGATACAATACCCACCTTTAACCTTTGACTGAATGAGTTGCTGCATGTAGTCATCGAGCTGAGCTTCATTTGGGAGCTCATCCCAATCATCGTGTTCGAATGGCTCCCCTAAACAGTCCCCGACAAGGGACCCAACCATACATCCCTTGAACTTGGATGCCAGTAATGCCTTGTCCATGATAGTATGGCAATTTCTTCCTATATTATTTTCCACATTTACCACGTATCTCAACCTCCTTGCTACAGATAATCCCAAACTCGCTCCGAAAGACACCATCTTCATGGGCGCCGCCATGTAAATATGAACGCTTAGACTAAAACACTGCTATTCTTTGTGTGCTACCCTTCGGGACCCAGAAAGATGTATCACGGTATTGTGGTCCAAATTACCATAACAGGCGCTGCAAGTTTACTTCTTTACATAAAGTTTCAATAAAAGACTTCAAATTAATTTCCTTTGTCAAATCCAGGACTGTTTCTGTGCTTGAATATCTATCATTTACGTTCCCAGAAAGTGCAGCGTTTTACCAAACAAGAGCTTGAGTAAAACCGTTGGTAAAGCCTAAAACGCTGCTAAACGTTGTCAAGCGTAAAACCATGCAATCAATGCAATACAGAACGCACGCTCGTTGAATTAACTAGACTGATGGGTACCGTAAATTAAATGGGTTTACCTTACATAATTTTGGGTTTAGTTTCATTTGCTTTCCGAACAATATCTTATTTCCCATTCCTAATAGTACCTATTTATCGTACCTTCCTGTACGATTCGAACCCGCATCCTCCCTGACCCTCACACTACCTTTTCTCGGCTGGTGTTGACCTCCACCGGCTCCACCAGCTAACCGGTGGTGAGTCCTCGCTGGACTAACGTGTCCACCTAGATGACCGTTCGAGCAGAAGGGCGGGCTGACCACTCTGACCGCAAAGACTCCGTTTGTTCCGTTTGTATTGCCAATAAACATCAACTCGCTTCACTGCCCTCGTGCGTGGGCGGGCCGCGACTCTCGCAGCGAACACGCGCGCTCCCGGCCGGGGAATGAGATCGTCTGTGGGACGGACGGGCGGAGACACTCGGAGTGACACACACCGCGGTGACACACACTGACACACTGACATGGTGCTGACACAGCGGCCATGCGTCAGCCGAGGTCACAACCCATTTGCGGGATACATATAACGTACAATAAAAACTGTATAGCTGAGCGATAGGTAGGTAAGTCAAAAGTCAAAAGCCTACGAAGAAACGTCATTAAACGTACAAATTGTGCGCAACAAAGTTTCGCTTGGGGTAGACTCGAAGTGATCACACTAATCCGTTTGAGAAACAGACCTATCAAAGTGCTTCTGTTTATCGAGAGTAAAACTGAGTTCCAAAATCACCAGTCGCAGGATTTCTAGAGCGAAATCGGTCGGCGAGTGAACAGAAGCTGCGCACATAGCACCCGGTCAGCCGGGCGGCGGCGTTCTCAGTCCACTGCAACCGTGTGGGCTAGTCTGCTCGGCGGTCAGAGCTTCTCATATCAGTCGACATCAGCGAGAGGCTCGCTACCGCCAGTCGACGACGCGCAACACAGCATATTGCACATTCACTGGCGTCTTTGGCCGTCACGTCTTTGGCTTGATGGGCCGCGCCGGCCGCTTAGTCGGGAACACACTCAGTCGCTCAATCATCTACACACTCACTCACTCACCCACTCACTCGCTCACTCACTTACGCATTCACTCACTCATTTACTCACTCACTCACTCACTCACTCACTCACTCACTCACTCACTCACTCACTCACTCACTCACTCACTCACTCACCCTCACTCACGGCACAATACCTATAGCGAACAATAAACGGCTTCCCTGTTAACTAGCTTATCATACGGTCAGTCACAGGGCTTAAAGATTAAACATTTAACATAAAACAGTATCAACAATGTAGCCATTAAATCACACCTCATGACACCTAATATAAACTTCCCCCTCAGTATGTACTGACACGGCGAAAGCAGCCCGCTCTTGTACTTTTCATCCAGCATTCAGCTTTGACCTCGCCCTGCCCTGCAGCTGGCCCGTTGACATCTCATAGGTAATACAAATAGACATATAGTTACATGCGATGCAATTTCAGTGAAATACATTTCTGGTGTCACGGTGTGCTGAGTACGCCAACCGCTGGTTGACTTCTAATCTGATCGAAATTCTCAGAGAGTCGCGACGCAAGCAAGCACCACGGGCGCCTGACCAACGGTCAGTTACCCACTGTTGGTCGGGGTGACAGCCCAGTCGGTCGGAAGGTCAAAGGTGGGTTTCCTGGCGACCTCAGAGGATCTTTGACGGGCCCTTGGTGGTCTAATTAAGTCCCTGGTGGTCACAGACGGCCTTGGCGGATCTTCAACAGCCTTAGTGGGCTCCTGGTGACCTCAGAGGGGCCCTATGTCCCTCAACGGGACGGTATCAGCGGACCTCCTTCACTGACCTCAGCAGGGCCATCTCCCAGTGTGTCCCCGGCGCTCAGCGACCTCAGCTGGTCTGAGGTCGACACTGTTCGGGTCACAGCCGCTCTGTGAGCTGCTGGCACCTTCTCTCGTGGATTGCAGAGGACGAGAGGACGTACACTTTTTGCCGTGCTCTCTCCTACACAGCTACGAGCTCAGCGTTCCCAACTAAAGCCTAAGGCCAGCCCTGGGGCACACAGCACGAAGCTCAAGTTCATCCTTCCTCCGCTAGACGTCGCGTCGGAGGGCTTCGGCGCGCTGCGCTGCCCGCCGGCCGACCGGCAGTAGCCTGCGTGACACGTCGAGAGACCCATGTCGTCCACTGTCGACCAGAGAGCCAGCGCCCCCGGCAGAGATGGTGGCGCGTTTGGACTCAGCCGACATGAAGGTGTACTGGGTGCCGATCCGGGTGAGCGCGCCTGACGGCTCGGCCTGGGCGCACCGACAGCACGGAAACAGACGGCGTAGCAGCGTGTCCACCCACGGGAAGCGGCTGTAACAGAGGGAGAGGGAGAGGTCAGCTGGAGATGGAGGGAATTAGGTCAGTTTGGACACATGGTAAAGGGAGGAGGTCAACTGTAACAAACGGTGGAGGGCGACTGGCGAGGTCAGTCGGGAGACCGGCGGCGGCTGCCATGAGGCTGACACAGCCGAGCGGGGAGAGCTAGACGTTTGACGCGGCTGGGTGATAATGGGGCACGGAATCCTGGAAGACAGGTGTGTTTCAGTTCTGGGTCTGGAGTTTGTGATGAGGACTGAGATGACACCCGTCTTTCTGAGTTTCGCTATAGGTTAACAAGGGAAGGGAAGGTCGCTGCTCACAGCTCAGGGTCCAAACAGCGAATAAATTCACAGTCTAGCGTAAATTGTAAAGAACGGTCACAGATGAGTCTAGCGCTCGGGCAACACGGGACTGTCCCTTTGGAAGCACACGGGAGTATGTACCTAATTTCTGAGCGCTGAACACATATATTTAATTAGAGAAGAGCTTGGCTGCCTTCGGCGAGAGATTCGCTCAAAGTTGCTTAGCTATTCAGGACATACGATCAACGAATAACTAGGAGAGTGGTGCTGCGTTAGGAGTTTCACTCGACCGTTAAAACATACTTATCAATCAGCAACAGACAAAAAGTGTATCAGTAATTATTCACAACGGATATATGTACAAAATATTTACAGTGTATGATGTAGTTGGTAAATGTCAAGCAATGATAAAAAAGATAAACGATAAATAACGTGTGTTACTACCTACTGTGCATCGTCACTGGTGAACTTAGGTACCTAGAGCTGTTGTTGAAAATGCACTCATTGTATCTCTGAAATTAACGATTTTTCATGAACAAAAGAACCAAACGCCTAGAAAAACATCAGATTTTCACATTTAACATCACAGGTCAAACGTCCAAATCCCATTGCCAAAAACGAAGGGCGGAGCGTACCAATATCGGAAAACAGTATCACAACACAACATTATCAAAGGTCAGAGCAAAGGTGAGGGGCTGGGCTGCTCGCTCCGCGCGGCAGCTGGTAGGTAAAATTGAGCTCAGTGATGTAGTGAGCGACCGCACAGGCAGAAAATGACAGACACGGCACAGTGTATAAAGCGCACCTCTCCGTGAGCGGAGACGAAGAACCACAACCACGCGTGCCCCAGACACTCTCAGAACTTTACGCACTCCGCCCAGGGTTAGCATGCGCCGCCTGCCGGCTGGCAGGCTCTGTGTCGGGATCAGGGGCGGTGCACAGATCAGCAGAGACCACACAAACCGGAGGTGACAGGAGTAACATACGGCGTCTGCTCTGTGAGGCCCTCTGGCGGCCGTGCAGGTGGCGCCTCTAGTGGCGGACGCTGCTGCGGCGTCCGAAGCCTGCGACCGGCCGGGTACAGGGTTACGCGGCGACTCCCAGTCCCGACCAACCAAATGCCACCCCACTGACCTATCCCAAGAGTCAAGACAACAGTCACACGGTACTGAAGGGTATAAGTCATTAGTGGGCTGAAGCAAGCTCCCTGGGAGCCAGCGGCGGCAGGGAGGGGAAATGGTGTGAGGCCCGATATTAGCAGTCACACTTCGCCGTATACCTATGTCAAAAAAGTTACTTCAAATCATAACGGATATGAAGTGAGCCACTGGCACTGAGACTGCCTTGCATTCGCGGTAGAGCCTGGCTTTTCATCAGACCGTTACCAAATTATGAAACTGGGACATGTGGCATTCGGCTGATATGGAAGGCAGTAAAATCGCTCGGTAGCTTCTCAGATTTCCAATATTCTAGAAGTGTGCCCCGCGGATCCAACAAAGTGCAGCTGTGGTCTGTTATATGAAATTCACCTATATAGACGCTGCAAGACGAGGGTTAGGTGTTACCTGATCCCGCTGTGTTATATTTCCCCGCATTTCTGTAGCTCTTCTGAAAGCACAGAGCGGTAAACACCGCCCCCGGGCTCCCCCAGTTCCATGTGTAACTCTCCATTGCTAAACAGAACCGCCCTAGAGCAGCGCGCAGAGCCTGCCCGCACTGTCCACCGCCCGTGTGGAGGCCTGAAGCTGCTTCACTGACTCACCGAAGGGCTCTACATACGTCGCAGCCGGAGAAGATGCAGTAAATGATGGGGTTGGCCGCCGAATTCAGCGGCGCCAGGCTCTGGATGAAGGTGCTCAGCGCCACCATGGTCTGCGTCTCCGGCAGCAGCTTGAAGACTTGGAGGAAGTTGAAGATGAAGTACGGCGACCAGCACATGATGAACACTGCGACGGAAGATCGACGGGTTACACAGGTCACAGCCCACACAGAACACAACTCACAGATCACACAGGTCACATGAGTTACACAAGTCACAGTTCTCAGTCTCACAGGTCACACAGGTCACGCAAATCACATAGGTCGCGAAGTTTACGCGAAGTTTACGATGATCATCGCAACGCTGTAGCTGCATTGCTTGGTGAGAGACCTAAATAGTCAAAGTTGCATGTGAATGCTGAGGCAAAAATGATCTATATATATATATATATTGTGCTTTCTTACCTGAGATGATGACAAACGTCATTTTGACCGTTTTAATTTTGGCCTTGGGGATGATTCCGCGCGAGCTGGCCCTCTTGGTGTCTCGGTCAGCCTGGTCGTCAGCGGCGGTACTCCGACGACCTGACGACAGAGGGGTGACAGGTCACCAGCCAGCCCCGGGAAACGGAGCTAGTGAGCGCAACCTGCTCGGTGCTCGCTGCGGCGGTGGTGACTGGTGTAGATAGAGTGGGAAAGCTGCCGACGGACACGGGAGAACAACAGCGACTCAGGACGCCTCTGGGAACGGTACCTAACTGGAGAAAGACTGTTATGGACATCACACAGAATGGGAATAAACGCCATCCAGAGGGAATCATATGTAATTAACATAGCAGTTCTTAATTATTTGATATTTCCATTCTTTGGCATTGAGCGAATGCTGTCCACCGATGTAGAGCTAGTCGCCGTGGAATTTATTGTTGCGCTGGATGCCTCTGAGGGCTCGGAGTCTTCATTCTGGTGCTCAAAATGAAAAGGAGAATCTTTCGAGTAGCCAGTAAACGTAAAAGAGACGTCGCCTTGTCGAACTAACCGCTAACGTGTCGCCCGAATTTCGAGCTTGCCGAGCTGCTCTCGATAGGGTCTGTCGAATGACTGACTGGCTCCGAACCCCAAGGGCCCAGAGGCTTATAAACTACGTCGACTGCCTCCATATAATGCTGAGAACGCAAGTCTGGCAATGTTGGAATGTAATGATCAAAGCCATCGTCTCATATGGGCAGTTTTGTGCGTGTGTTTTGATTTGAGTCCGTGGACCGTCATCTCTGGAGATATTTATCCGTGACCGGGGGCGGACGTCCGCTTGTCCGCCTTGAGAGTTTCCTTTCTTTATTTAACCCTCGCCGGACCTATTGGTTTTCTACATACGCGCCGGCCGAGGGGGGGCAGGGTACGAATGATATGGCAGGGTACGACCCCCCCCCCTCGCCGTTTCGCCCCTGGTGGAGCTAGCGCGTCGCGGAAAAAAACGAGCGTGTGCGCCGTTACGAGACGCAGAGATTGGTACCCCATTTTAAGGTCCTAGGTCAACCGGTGACCTCTGAGGTAAGGTCAAGTGCCCCAAGGTACGGTTCAGTTTTTGGTGAATAACTTCGCAAAAAACGGCCGCAGCGCCGCGATTTTGGCAGCATCGTGTTCGCCTCGCTCAGGCGCGTCGAATGATATACTTTTTGTTCGGGTCAGGTCAACTTGGGGTGTTGACCTCAGGTCAAGGTCAGGTCAGCACCCCCAGGTCACGAAGTTGGTCGAAAGAGGTCATGTCATTGGTGGCTTTCTTGACTCTCTAGCTCAATTTGATCAAGAGTTATTGACGAAAAACTAATATGACCTTGATGACGTCATAAATGACGTCACGCAAGGTCAACATTGCAAAAGTGACGCATCTAACCTTGCAAGGAGTGCATCAAATCACGATTCTGTGTGCTTGAGATAGTTAAAGATCGTTCCCGGCGCCAGAATAGCAGTTTTCATTTTTCCCCATTGACTTATGGTGAGGTCACGAAAATGACCTGACCTCATATGACCTTTAGGAAAAATCCGAGATATACAAGTTGTGAGACTCATAATGGATACTAGATCCTGCAAGTTTCATTTCCCTGTGACATCTCCTTTGGCAGTGAGGGCGTTGCGAAGTTGCGACATCTGAAGACCGTGCAGAGGTTCACTTATGACGTCATAGGTCAGTGACCTGACCTGACCCAAAAATGCGGTTGGTGTCAAAAGATCCGGCTTGGATCAAAGGTCAGGTATGCCAAATTTCAGCTCTCTATCGCCAGCGCGTTCGGAGCTATCGCGAAAAACCCTAGGGGGGGGGGGGGCGGCACCCCCCCCCCCCCCTCGGCCGGCTTGGGTTAATTATCTTGCCCTTTCTCGTTCTCTGAGTGAGAATGGCATTCGAAAAGAGTGAATTTGACCGGCATACTAATCTTCTCGTATAAACTACCCCATTGAAGTACCGCGAAGCTCAGAAGTTGGAACTGAAGGCCAAAGTCGCTGAATTGATATTCCACCGAAGATGCACTGGGTGAAAGGTATATCGACGGCGAACCAATACCACTTGGAATTTGTGCTAGTTATATTCAATGTAAATATATAATACACCCATGCATTGGTTGTAGGTATATAACGAATTTACTAGGGTTGTAATGTCATGAAATACTTCGTTAACAGGTAAGAAATAGCGATAACAAACGTATATAAAGAGAATTTTGCGATCAAACCATGCTTGCACCACCTACTAAGTAACTAAACACGTAAACATTCGAAAACTGTACTCATCCGTTGCCATTCATTCATTAAAAACTACAATGTTTTATCGGGCATTCAGTCAATTTTACATACATATATGAAGCTAATCGTCCAAAACCCCTATCCAGCAATGCACCAAAGAGAGGGACACGAGCCACGTGACTGGGCCGATGGCAGCGCTTCCTGAGTAGGTACGGCACCATCAGCATATCGCAGCGCGCTCTTGCAATGTACTCCGGTGGATGCGGCCGCGGCCATTAGTAGTCTGAGCGGCCGGCGGCGGCCGGCAGAGCCATTGTGCCGCCGACGACTCAGTGTAGCACACACGGTGTCGGACCACCACACAATGGCCCGTTCACGGCGCATGGGTCGGGGAGCGGGCGCCCCAGGTCGCAGAGCGGGCGCCCCCAGCGGCTCCAGATCACCCCACTCTGCCCCGGCCGCCAGCGGGCAGACGCCAGTACCGCGTGCAAAGGAGCCAGGCATAGATAGAAATGAAGGCAGAGCCTGCAGCAGGAACGTCTAAAGGGATTTGTATGTGCTGAGTAAGGAAAATGCTTTTGAGGCTTGGATGCGGTTAGTGAATGTCTCAAGACGTATCTAAACGTGCTTCAGAAGCAGGGATGCGCCACAGCTTATATCTGGGCATCTCCTGATCTTATCTTGACAATAGCCCGGGAGCCGCTATTTGTCCGGGAGGCTGGCAGTTTGTCTGATGTTTGTACGTCGACACAGCTCGGCAGTAACGTGATAAAGCGGAATAGCTAAAAGTACCCACGTCGGTTAATATACAGGCCTTTTGGGACGCTAAATAGAGACAAGCTAAAAGAGAGAATTAGAAGAGCAGCGAGAATGGTAGTAAATGAGTGGAGAGAGAGAGAGAGAGAGAGAGAGAGAGAGAGAGAGAGAGAGAGAGAGAGAGAGAGAGAGAGAGAGAGAGAGAGGAGGATGAGGAGGAGGAGGAGGAGGAGAGGGAGGGAGAGTAAAAGGGACAGAGGAGAGGATTAAAAGTGGAAAGATGAGAGCAGACTTTGCCTGCCATCTCTGCAGACTGAGTGCCGGCTATGCTGAGCACGTCTGCACTGCTGCAGCGTCGGCCGCGGATAGCGCCGGGACGCCAGCCTCGAGCCGAGGCCCCGCTAACAGCCGTCCGACAGCTCGGCCCACCTCCCTCTCTCTGCAGGCGGGGCACCAACAGCTCGGCCCGTATGCCTCACGTCGCCCCGGACTGTCAGCGGCTGAGTTCCCGACGCGCCCACGCCCGCCAGCCACGGCCGACCGAGACAACTTTTACCGGGGCCGCCGGCGTCGACAGTCGCTACCCGGCAGTTATGGCTCCGACAGTCGGAAATCCAGATCGGACCTAATCGTTGGGCGCCGGCGAATTTAAATATGAGACGGCACGTCGTGGGCTGTCATAGACTTGAATAACCGCAATTACCTAAAAGTAGACGACCGCAAGTTAGGTAATTGCATGTCAAAGTATGAAAAAAGTCTCGGCAACTAATCACAAAAATGTCCAGACCAGGCCCAGCAAGCTCCAGCGTTATCAACCACTATGATACTTATCCAGTGAAAATCGCACGTTACCTGCGGGCAGGGAGGTTTTCTCGGCCGCGCTGCCGAGCTCCTTTCCCTTCCTCCAGATGGTGATGACGATGATGATGTAGCAGGCGGCGATGATGACCGCCGGCAGTATGAAGAGTGAGGTTGCCGTCAGCGACATGTAGAGCTGCCAGTTGCGTGGTGAGCCGACGTCTATCCAGCACTCGATCCGAGGAGGAACTGCAGAGAACACGCGGGTCAACCGTCACTTTGAATAGTGGTGAGAGAGAGAGAGAGAGAGAGAGAGAGAGAGAGAGAGAGAGAGAGAGAGAGAGAGAGAGAGAGAGAGGAGAGAGAGAGAGAGGAGAGAGAGAGAGAGAGAGAGAGAGAGAGAGAGAGAGAGAGAGAGAGAGAGAGAGAGAGAGAGAGAGAGAGAGAGAGAGAGAGAGAGAGAGAGAGAGAGAGAGAGAGAGAGAGAGAGAGAGAGAGAGAGAGAGAGAGAGAGAGAGAGAGAGAGAGAGAGAGAGAGAGAGAGAGAGAGAGAGAGATGAGACAAAGAAATGCTATAGATAGATGTTCGATTCTCGGGCTATAACGAGACACGACGACATAACTGAGAAAGGTTTCATTAGCCCGACTTGGATAAAGAGTTGCCAGTGGCTTGAGATTGTCGTTTTTTTAGGTGGATATCCATCGACCTAGGTATTTCTGACAAACCACCGGCGACTCCAGCGCTAATCGATGACAGGTATACCTGTCATCGATTAGCGCTGGAGTCTGCGCTGGGTTGGTGCAACCTATAGGTTGCACCAAGGCCCTTAAACTACCCTAAAGGCATAGGGTATCACAGCTCTATGCCGCCTGAATAAAATTCAAAACAGCCGTTCGCTAACTTTGAGAATCACTGAAGAATGTGTGTAACGTCAGCAGACTGTTCATAAACTACCTGCATAGTTGCAATATCTGCTACGCAGAGCTTGCAACGTCGATAATATCTACTGCATTGAGCTGATGTAGGTAGTGCTAAGATCACAAGGTAGTGCTAAGAACACACCACTAGGCCGATCAGTTGCAGCGTGCTGCCCAGATAACCGTCGTCACCCGGATATGCTCCCCGGGTCAGTGAAGGAACGTCTGCTTTGCCTTATTATCGTTCACTGTTCTACGCCGTACGTCGTTTATTTTCAAAAGTTTGCGCATCTCCGTGCAAACTTCATCTTGTTTATGAGACGCCATGTTTTTCCTTTTGTTCCACGATCCCAATCGTTATGTCCTATTTGCACATGTTCGTAACTTGAACAAAACAAGTAAATCGAACAGATGTCAATGAACGTTCACTAGCGGATCAATACAGAAGTAGGTACTACTACGAATTTCGTCCTCACCACGAGATGTTTAACAGTGAAAAGCAAGCAAAAAATTCAAGAGCAGACTTGAAGAAAGCAATGACTTTACTCAGACGAACGTCGTGGATGCACAAGCACTTACTTATTGTCACATCTATGCTAGCATGCACTAAAACTACTTGCATTCACTTTTTAAATTTATGAGAAGGGCTTATAATAAGCTATAAAGCACAAGCCAAGCAAACATGCTTCTTTGCAACCTACTCGTGTACTGGGTAATATTTGTAATAAACATAATAGAAGTTATATCACACATGACTGATGACTCTGACTGGCGTGCTTTATCATTATTAAGCTTTCTCTCAAGTGAAGAGTTGAACATAACAACTGAACTGGGCCGGACATCAAATGTGTGTGAGGTAGTAAGTTTTCGGGCGACTCGCAGAGTTTCCGGTTGAAGGCTTATGAAGTGAAGACCAGTGTAAACACAATGCTCTCCATGCTGTGGTCATTTATTTTAGACGTGAAGTAACTAAGAAGATTAAAGGAGTAATTAAGATCAAATAGACGCACAGTCATGTGAGGGTGTCATCAGGGGACCTGGCTGTGGAACGAGACGGCACAAACGCAGTTTTATGGGAAATGGGCGAAATACAAACTATGCAGCATTCTCTATACCAGTAGCGGCGGAACACCTTCAATTAAGGGGGATGGGGGGGGGGGGGGCACTGCCGACTTTTGGTCCTTCTTGCCATGCAACGCCCATGATAGGGCTAATGTTAAAATGGCAAAATCAAGGGGGCACGGTGCCCCGGTGCCCCCCCCCCCGTTCCGCCGCCTATGCTCTATATTAGCTTCATTCTATTTAAACAAAATCCTCCATTTTGAGCTGGGAAGAACATTTTGATCAACCGCTGTCTACTGACAAACGCCGCCTGCAGAGGTAAGTACCACCATTTCATGATGATTATGATATGTTTTTTTTCGCATAGGTGTGAAAGTTTATGTTTTATACCAATATTGAAAAGTTTGTCCATCACTCAGAAAACACTTTGAGAACATTTTTGAATAAGGGCTCATATGAGTGCCAAAACAGGGCTCAAATCTGTATGATTTTAAAATCGGGATCAGTTAGGCGCCCTTTTCGGGCTCAAAGTACATTAGCCCCGAAAGCGGCATCAGTTCGTCTTCCTTTTCGGGCTCAATTCGAGCTGCGTTTTAGGGCTCCATACGACATTCCGCCATTCCGCCTTTTGCTGTTTTCAGTGCCATGTGTTGGTGTACCTACCGCCGTGATTTCAAAATGAATGGTAAGTTATTAGTTATCAGTTATCGCTATCTTTTAGAAAAAATCAAGATGTTGATGCTCATGCCATTTTAATCCCTTATCAATTAAAATTGTGATGGCATTTGTTCAGAAAAGGTCTGATCTACAATTGTGGCGCCGTTGATACGAATACGCACGGGTTTGATTATTCGTTTTTCTTGTATTTGCGCCACATGAAAGCATCATATCTGGATTCAGGATGTCAAATAGTGTAAGAATGTGCAAAAATTTTGTCTGGTTCTTCGTGATGATGTGATTGAAGCAATGCTTTCAAGGGTAGGTAAGGATTTTGTTACTTGTTCGTAATGGTTATCTTGATGCTCAACTAAAATTAATCCTAACCTTGCCTACTAACCTATTAAGTTAAACTTAGTACCAATACCTACCAACCTACAACCTATTTGGATCTTTCATATACTTATAACATGCTGCTGCTTCTGCTAACATGCTGCGGAATGCTGGTTGACATGATGGAATGCTGGTATGACAGTGTTCCATGTTTCAGAATTTTAGGTGAATAACCACACATGATGGGGAAAATGTTTTCATCCTAAAAATATGACAAGTGGCTTTATTTCATCTTTGCTAAAAAAATATGTCAAAAGTTTGATTCAACAGCCAGCTGCCAGGTTACGCATGACTTGACAGTTGATGCATCTACTCTACATCATTTCATTTCAGATCCTGTGAAGGTTCTGACAAAATCTGAGGTAAAAATGGCATTATGCAGTTTTGCAGAAAGACTAAATCTATCTCATTTTGTCTTCAGATTTTTTTTATTGGGACACCCAATTGAAATCCAATTTTAGAACACTGTGACACCATGCCTGTGTGCCAAGTAAGAGGAAGGGTCTACAAGTATACATCAAGATAACCAATTATGGACAAGTTGAGACTTGAGTCATGAGCTCTTATTTGTGGTTACAATACCTTCAACTGCATGATTTTGCACAACTTCCATACAGGCATCCAGACTGGAAAAGGTTCAAGTCCATACTTATTCTGGTGCTTGAATATGGCAGTTCAAAGATGGAAGGCATATGATGCTACAAAATGAAAAAAATAATTCAACTTACAAAAAATAGGTATTCATATCTATCCTAAACTAAACTAACCTAAACTTACCTAACCTAATCCAACCCAACCCAACCACCCCAACCAGCCCAGCCCAGCCCAACCCAGCCCAGCCCAGCCCAGCCCAACCCAACCCAAAACCTACAGTCTAAAACCTAGAGCTAAAACCTGCAGCCCAAACTGGAAAACATCCATATGGTACGCCGGACGCCCGTGAAGCCGTCATGCGCCGAAGTTCGGCGCAAGCTATTTTGCAATTTGCGCTGAAATTTCTGCATTATTTGCGCCGAAGGTTAGTGCCCTTTTGCGTCAAAATTAAGCCACTTATACAAAAAGCACGTTTACATCTGCTGGCCAAGGTTTTATAAACCAGACAGAACGCTCTGGGCCTTAACCACTCCTGACTCCCATGTTTGAGCGTCCAAATTAGTTGATGTTTCCATGGAAGCTGAATACCACAATACGTGTAGCGCACTGTAGCATCGTGCCGTGAAATAAGGCTCGGGACGGAAGTTCCGGGGTCACAAAAATTGGTGTGGCGGTGTTGTCGCGGCTGGCGGGCTCCAGCAAGGGGTTTAAGTTTACGACACCACTCTTGTTTCAGGAGAGGTGTCAGCGATTCGAGACTACTTGGGCATGCGGGCAGCGGGGTCGGCGTGGCTGCCTGCGGCTGCGGCCACACATCTTGGCGTCCTGGAGGCGGAGATGCTGATGGTGGCATGAGTCATCACTGGCTGCCCGATTTCCATGCTCCAAGACTCGCCGTGAGGGCCGAGGCGGGCGTCGTGCCGATGGAGAGATGAGGAGGGATGCGCTGGCATCGCGCCTACTGGCGAAGGCGCTCTCCCTCCCGTCGGAGGACCCGCCGCGTCGTGGCGGAAGCCCCCCCCCCCCCAACCGTGACTGAAGTCAGTGACCGGCTGGAGAGAGCGCGGGGGAGCGGTGTGGGACCACTGGAGTGGCGCTGCCCGCCGAGGCGCGCTTATCCACGAGACTGCCCCCGTAGACGCCAACAGACGGCGTCACGGTCCACCTGGACCTGCTGCCGATCGGGGCGTCCGCGACAGCGAGGAGGAGTGCTGCGGAGGCGTGACTGGGAGCGCTCCCCCAGCGTGCGACGTGGGCCTGGGTCGACGGGTCTGCGACCGGGGGAGTAATAGGAAGGCGGCGCTGGGGTCCTCACCGAGCACCCAGACAGTACAACATTGGTACTGCGGGAGGCGGCGGGGAGGATTTGCTCCATTTACCGATCTGAGATGGTGGCGCCCAAAACGGCAAAGCAACATCTCCTGAAGCACCCGTCCTTCGAGGAAGACCCCATAATCATTTGCTCAGACTCGCAGGCGTCGCTGGCGACGCCACGAGGTGGACAAGTGGCCCAGACACCCCCCCCCCCCCTCATCCCCTAGGTGCCGCCATCTGGTAGTATATGATGGCCCTAGTGGCTGTAGGGGGCCGAAGAATCCACCATAGAAGGAGGGCGGCGATAGCCC